CAAGAGCCAGACCCTGGGGCAGGGCTGCCAGCCTGCGCCGCTCTCCTCGACCACCCCCGCCTCCGCCCCGCACAGCGCTGCCTACTCGCCCTCCTCCCTCCTGGGGAGGCATATTTATTACACCTCACCTTTTTATAGCAATTATACAAACTATGGGAACTTTAACGCGCTCCAGAGCCAGGGAATCCTGAGATACAACTCCGCGGCAGTGGCTTCAAACGAGGGACTAACTCAGACTGTCCTAAATGCCAGCTCTGTCCACAAGCAGAGCAGTGACTCTTTGAAAACCATCACTAACCAGCTAGAACAGCATTACAGGCCCTCTAGTTATGACTCGAAGAAAGGTAGGTGACTTGCTTTTGCCTCTTTCCTCCCCCTTCTCCCTCGCCCTCCGCCCCCGGCCCGCACACGTCCTTCGGACGCTTTGTGCCCGCCAAAACCTTCTCCGGAGCGAACGGGGGAGCGCACCGGCACCGCCACCACCGCCGGGGGAAGGCGGGCGGTAGCGTAATCTGGGGATTAAAACCGGTTTGCCGCTGCCGCACCGGTACCTGCCGCTAAGGGCCGAGAGGGGCAATGCAAAAGACGACTTTTAGATCGCTCTCACGGGCTGCAGACGCGGCTCTTAAAAGACATTTTTCAAAGGAAAACTACACACACAGATAGCCAGAGAATACGAGTGTCATTGCCTGTAATTTTTTTTTTTTTTTCCGACAAACTGGTTTTGCTCTCTTTGTTTCCTGTATCTTCAAGCTTTTTTTGCAGCTTTGGGTTCAGCTAATTGCTGACCTTGGACGTGAAATTACGTGGAGCGTGACAGTTTTAACTGTTTGTTTGGTTTGGGATTTTTTTATTATTATTATTTTCCGGAAAAAGTTTCGCCCTAATGCAGTTGTCAGCTTATCCTAACAAAACACTCGAGATACGGGCAATTATGAAATATGGGCCAGCCCTTTAAACGACTGGGCTACGAATTCTGCGCGAGCGAGGGTTGGGACCTCCACGGGCTGTATAATCTAGTTAGCTGGCTGTGTCCTGTGACTAACTGACGGTTCTATTTTGACAGATCCCACTGAAGTCTGCACAGTAGGAGTACAACCATACCTATAGAAGTGCAATCACACAGCAATGCAAGTAAGTGAGAACATTTTCTATTACACTGATCATTTGGCATCAGGTCTAAGACACGCTGCACAGCTCTAGACTTGCTTAACGTTAATTTCTTGCTTCATTACTTGAGGGTCTGATTACGAAGTAAGACACTATTTTCTGCTGGTTTTGGGGGGGTTGTGTTGTTCTGGGTTTTGGGGGGTTTTTTTGTTTGGTTTTTTTTTGGTTTTTTGTTGTTTGTTTTTTTTTTTTTAAAAAAAACCACCCTCTTGTTATGGCTTTTCTTTCTAGGGTTTGTCTTTCATTTTAAAGTCGGGTTAGACAGTTCCCTCACCTTTGCATACTCTTCGCTAGTGCCAGGCAAAGCCGTAAGGACTATTCAAATGTCACGGAAAGAAAGCTGTAAAAAAAAAAAAAAATCTTTTTTTTTTGGAAAGTATTGTTGTTTCGAATCCAAAGTGCTTGTGCTCACGTGGCAGTGCTAAAATTGTACATTCCGAGTGAGGCTTCACACAGACACCGCGGATTTAAAAGAAAAAGGGACAATTATTAGCCACCGACGTGCATCTTAAGCAGGGTATGTTATCTGTGAATCGCCTCTTGCCTAGCCAGCAAATGGCACTCTTAATAACCCCGCTACTGAGGGCTAAATAAACAACCAAAAAATCGCCTTGCCGCTATTTTTTCAACTGATTCTTCTGTTGGAAGAAATTAGACGAGTAAGAATTTTGCCTTACTTCCTTTTTTTTTCCAGTTTCATGGTGGTAGTGTGTAATTGAAGGATTTTTGGATGATCTGGTTTTTTCCTTGGTCCACAGGTAGGTGTCACAATTGCTTTGAAAAAAGTCAGCAAGCCATCATCTCTCCCCGGGCTAATATATATAACAAATCTCTAAATCCGGATCACATCTTGTGCCACTGTATAAAAGAAGACCACAGAGCACTATTAAATCTTCAGACTCTAATTATTAAACCAGAATTTTGTTGGACATATGTGAGTTTGCTGGTATAGTATAGTTTCCCCAATGTATGTGTGACTTTTGAAAACAGATCTGTTTTTCTCAGGATATCTTGAATTGATCACTTCATTGCCACGGTATATATTCGATAGGTGTGATAGGATTTATTGTAAAATTTATTTGTAAAAGATGTATACAGTAGAGATAATAAAGACGTGATTGGAGAACTTGAGTCCTTACAAAGTGGAAACAAATTTGATATTTATTTTTGTAACGATATAAAGCTTCTAGTAATTTATGCAAGTTGTATTGCAATGGAATCTGAACTTTTTGTAAATAAATTTTGCCTGGTTTTTATTTGAAACGTTGATGGTTATACAATCTTTGGTTGTTTAACGAGAATTCTTTACTAATTTATATCTCTAATTGTAAATAAAAACAGACTAGTCTGCAACAATATGGTGTTTTTCGTTCATTTCCCCCCAAATAATAATCTATTATTTAGAAAATGACAAAAGTTGCAATTTCACTAGTAGAGCTTCGACCATAAAATGAGTAAGCAATTTACATATGTTGCAAAGATATGCTTTGCATAAATTAATCCCTTCTGGGTTGTTCCGTTATACTTAAGCTTTAAATACACACATATGTGCAAATACGTATTTGTATATATACATGCATATGCGTAGAGAGAGTGATTTGAATACATGCATGTTTCTTATAAACTATTTATGCTGGGTGTGAAGTAGCTCTTTATTTGAGTTAACATTCTTTAAATCCACCATTTCTAGGGGGGAAAGAAAAAAAAAGAATCATAATCAGCTACGGCTTATTTCTGCACTCTTTGTTTCTGCTGCTGGCTAAAATATGGAAAGGCAAAAAAAAAAATTTAAAAAGTCCAATTCCTATTTTTTATGTTTCTCCCTCTTTTTCTTTATACACCAGTAAACTGTATCTTAACAGTCACATTGGAAATCCACTTTGATTGGGCTCATAAAATCAGCTAACTAATCATTTTAATTTTTAGTAAAATAATGGGAATCCTCATATAATATAATTTCAGAAAAGAAACGAACAATCATTTATTTTCCCCAAAAGATAAATTGAGTGAATATAACTTACGGTTATAAAACAAGAATAATAGCTTCTTAGATTGCCCTTTAATCAATCATACACTTATTTTTCAAGAGGCTCATCTATTTTATTCCATGATTAATAATGTTCCAGCGTGAGAGCATTATTAGATCCCAGCAGGGGAGATCCTGAATGCTTTTAGCTGCTTTGGAATGGTCAGTTGGGGTTCATTATGGTCTGATATTGAACAATTTATAAAATCTTGTCTAAACATCTGCCAGCTCAGATAGGCCGATGTGTCTGAAGATGGGAAATTGCTGGACCAGTTGATATTGACAAACGGATCTCTCTCCAGTGGCTTTTTGTTCAGTGAAAATTAGTGGCCTCTTGCTCAGGTCTTGTTAGAAAGGGCATTTGAAAGTGATCTTAGATACTTCAGGCATCAGCCTTGGGAATGTTAACTGGATAAAGACCCATGCTAGTCTGGAGCCAGGAAATGCGTTGTGATTATATTAAATAGGGGAAAAGGAAGCTGGTTTTCTTAAACACATATAGACATCTAACTGATTGAGAAAATGCATGTGTTTTTCAGCTGATAGGGCAGAAATTAATATTGTAATTCTGGAAAACTCTGGGATCCATCTAGCTAAATATGAAACACTGAAGATCTTTGCAGCTGGAGGCCTACTCATCTTCTTACGTTGTTTGTACAATGATGCTTCTTTGCTCCTGTAACATCCCGTTTTTCACCGAGGTAAAATGCAACTGTATCTGCGTGCAGCATGTAGTACAATTAAGCAAACAGCTAAGAAGTAATTCAGTTTTTTCCCTCCAATTTGGCATGTGATGCAGATGCAAATATTCCTTGGCCGTCTTTACTGTGCACTTTAGGAGGATTTTGCAGAGGGACTTTTTATGTCAGGGGAGATGCCTGAACTTTCTTTTCCCCACTCTTGCTCCCACTCCATGGGCCCCCACCACCCACGTTTTATGTTCCAGGTCTCTGTTGGACACAACGTGTACATTTCAGTTGGTAAAAACCAAAAGCTGTGGCAGAGATTAAAAAAAGGCTAACGACATTCCTTTGATGTTTATACGCCCAAAGACTTATAAAAGATTTCCATAATTTACCCTCCCTTGCTAGTATTTAGACCTGGATTTCTTTCTGGAAAGAAAAGTAGAAAGACTTGGAAAACTCGCTTTTAAGTATTCACTATGTATGCAAAACCCAATGGACTTCTCTCATCCTCTGAGAAATTCACGAACACTTCATGGATGCAGATGGGTGACACCCAAACGATTTGGCAAATAAACTCATTTTTTAAACAAGAAATTAATGGGCAAGAACTGCATCTTCAACGTCATTTGAGATTTAATAGTCGAAATTGAAAGCAGGAGGGAAGTGTAGCCTTGCTAGATTGTTGGCACGAACAGTGCGATTATTTCAGTACAGCAAGAAAGAGGCACGGCCGATAAAATACACCACTTCGCGTAGGGTTTATTTTCTAACGATGCTAATCAGCCCGCCGGGATTAAAATCTCACACCCCCTTTCTATATTTACTCCCTCTTCCCCCACCCCCTTCCTCGCGCTTCTGTGCTCGTTTCGGAGCGGGAAAGACAAACCCTCCCCTCTTCGGGGCCAGAGGTTTCATTAGAACTGATTTATTGAAATTCAAGCTTTAATCTCAGGTGGGATCCCGGAGGAATTGGCGGTGTCGTCCAATAGGAGGAGGGTCGCTTTCCACTTTGCACTTCCCGGGCTGCTTTTTTCTTCGCTCCCTGCAAATGTCAACATTTGTTCTCAATAAGAGAGTTATTGTTTCAGGAAAGCTGCTCACCAACTGCCTTGGAGAGCGGAAAAAAAACCCCAAACCAAAACCGTCGCCCACCTTTGTTTGGCTGGAGGCTGGGGGAAGGCATGGGGATGGAGGTAACAGGCGACCCAGGCCAGCAGCGGACAGACAAGACAGCCAGACAGACGTGGGAATTGCTCCTGCACACCAGCTCGCTGCTGGAGGGGAACGGGCCCGGCTCAGGGGAAAGTTGCTATGAAGCGCGATGGGCGCCTCTGCGTTTCTCTCCCCGCGCCATTTGCATCTCGACGGGCTCAGCCCTTGTGAGAGAGGGGGAGACTGCAGGGGGAAAACAAACAACCAAAAAAAAGAGAGCAAAAGAGGAGCGCCTTCCCAAACGTCCACACGCCGAGGAGGACTCCCGGTTTGGGGGTGAAGGAGGACTTTCAGGAAAATAAACAAACTGCAAGGTGCACCTTCTGGTTTAGCCCTGCCTGGCGGCACCCACTGCCCTAATGGGCCATCAATTAGCTC